GCGTTGTAAATCGGAATAGTCAATCTACTTGCTCAAAGTCATTTCCATGAAATGTAACAATAAAAATTACTTTTATACACACGTATCTTACTATAATAATAATTTTATAATTATATAGTTTAGTGCTAAATTTGTTGCAGCACGAGATTGCAAACGATAGAAATCGTAAAAAAGTATTAATTAAAAAATACACGCACACTGACAAAATAACCGTTTAATTCTACATTTAAAATTGTTTGCAATCCTTTGAATATTATCGCTTTTGTAAAATTTTCTATGGGGCGTTATAATCAAGTAATATTATTATTTTTTTTATTTAACTATAGATCAATTTTAGCATATCTTATTTCTTCAAAATATACTAATTATTAATGGTTAATAATTACTAATTATTAATTATTTAATTATTACTATTGATGTAAATGTTTCATTCTAAACTGTTAATTTAAAATATTTAATAAACGATACGAATGATACATATTCGCAAATATAATAAAAAGACAATATCAAACTTTGAATATTTGTAATTGTTCATAGCAAACGTCTCAAAAATTATATAATTTAACGTGAAATATAAATGAGAAGAAGTACCGCTGACTTTGCTGCGATTCAAATTATCAGTTAAGTACGCAGACGGGCGAGCCCCGAATAATGAGTGTATTTAGTTGTGCAAATCACTGTTTAACAATGCCGGCTTTTATAAAATTAATGCCCCTCGCCGTAACTATGTCGATTACTGCAGACGTTGCGCGCGCTCCCCGGAAAGTGGCTAACGCAGAGCGTAATTTTGAAAATTTTAACGGAACTACCTGCCATCGTCCTTACTTTGCACTTCCGCCGATCTTACCGTATAATTTTGCCGCCATTCCAACAACTCCGCCAGAAGAGAGGACGCAGTAATTTTCTCGTCGAGCACTAGACGACGCAAAATTCGAAATATGCAGAATATTGTGAATTATAACTCTTGAAATCTTTTTATCTCTTATTACATGGAACTTCTTCACATTTAATATTAACATTTTTTAAATTTCTTACTATACACGAAGAATCCTGTAGGGGAGGAAACTTGTGATACAGATAAACATTGTATAAAAAGAATTGAGCTTATTTAAAAAGGAAGTAAACAAAGTGATTTTTTTTTTCATTTTGTTATAGATTCCCCTTTTAATTAATGTTATTTATTATATTAAAAAAATTATAGATTAAAAAAACTATATGTATAGATTGTTATCTATTTAAAAAAAGATAATAGTCTTGAAAAAAAAACGGATCCAATTAGCATAATAGCCTACATCTACGTAATTCAATGCTTCAAATGTCTCTGGAACTGCACTGTTATACGAAAAGAACGGTTTGCTGAAAAACGTTTTGCTGAAATATCTAAAAATTTAGCTGACTACAAATCTGAAAATGATTTACTGTATCATCAAAATAATTATACAAGACACTCAAGATGATGCTAGAATGTTTCAATCAAAATTTTTCGCAAGATGAGCGTCTATTACAATTCTTTTGATAGTTCAACAAAATTATTTTCTATATCTAGCTAAATTTTTAGATACTTTCTATTAAAACTGTTCCTTTTGTGTAGTAATTGTAGCTTTCTCGTTCTGATTACCTCTTTTAATTCCTCTTAATTTTCCTATTCTCCGAGTGCTAACGTGAATATTAATGTAAGTAAGAAAAATATTATAGTTTGACACATTAGCGCAACGAGGATCCTTTTGGTGTCAGCAAAGCTGTAGTTGCAGGAAGGATTCAATGTCGAATACAAGTATCGATCCTTCCTCTTGACGAAGCCGTATCTCGTTCAAGGCATGTGATACCGAAATGCGGTCACCTCGCTGGTGGAATCGCGCGTTCTCGTGTAACAAGAGCGTGATAAAGTTTCGCTGAAATTACGCTGTTATATACACGCCAGCTATCCGAATTCCTGGATTCCTGGAACGTGTCCATCAATTTTAATTATTTATATGAATGGAAAACTTCTGCTTCCATTGAATCGCGACATTGCAATTTGATTTCTTCTTGTCAGGCACGAGAGTAAATTCACGAATTCGAATTCTCGTGCCGAATCCCTCGCATCCTGACTACGTTAATTCTCTTTTTCAGCTACTCGTCATGTCTTGCGGGAAAATCGGTCGTAATCACGAGTTTCAATTCGATGAATAACGTATAATTTCCTATTCCCGACGAATGTAATTTCGAGGCTTTTAACCGTTTCCTAGGGCTGTTTCTTCTTGAATGTCGTGACGCGAAAGTGACGTTCGGTTTCGAATCTTGTCGTTGACAGCTGCGTGACAGTTTCGCATTAATTCCCCAGACTCTGGAGTTGACCTGTGAAAATTCTTTCGGTTTACATCAAATCCGTTACAGCAATAGAATCGCAATACGAAATCGATTGACAACTTTCGCACATGCTGCATTTTGATAATAGAATTAAACATTGAGAGCGGTTTCTTTACTTTATGTTTTGAATATTCTCTATAGAGGCGTTTATCTTTTAGCTGAGATTATGTAGACACAAATTATATATATTATTTTTTCTTTTGCAGACTTTTAATAGTCCAAATAATCATAGATAGTTGAAATAATCATAGATAGTTTTCAGAATAGAAATAAAAGTATATATTTTTGATATTTTGAACATCATTGTGTTACGTGTGTACATGCTAAACGATATTTATTTAATTGTGAATATATCAAGTTTATTATTGTTATTAAATTAAAGATGTATCAGGTGTACAGTCTCTTTAAAAAGTGGCTGAAATTGGAAATTTATACTTTGTGTACAAAATAAATAGAAGAGACCAGAGCTAATAGACTCATTTTTCAGTTTCGAATTTTTACAGATGAAATTAAGAAAGACTTAACGAAAAAAATGAATTCTATATCAGTTACTACATACATTTGATTACCTAACAATATTTTAATAATAAAGAGAAACTGATAACTAATATGAAAAAAAATGCATTTTTCTAATGTGTTCTATCTGATTCAACTAACTCCGGACTTTAGCTATAATTCGATTAAAATAAAGATTAATGTATTTTAAGCTACATATTAATAAAATTTTTATAAAAATATTGTAAACATAAACATCGCTTCGCAGGACAAAACAATTTTTTGCTTTTTTTTGCAAAATTTGTCCATTTCGTGCAAAAACACGTCAAATGAGCCTAGTTTTCGAGAGATTGGACATAAGGGAACTAAACTTTTAATATTTATCACTAAGGAAAATCTCTTTAAAGGAATAAAATTTTGAGTAAGTACTATAAGAGTCGTCATTAAATGAGTCATATAGGTCCATGCTATTGTTAGTCTACTATCCCCATTTGTTTATTTTTTTTAAATATTGACAATATACGATAACAAAGGTACATAAACAAAAAAAATCTGTTTGACTTTATTAAGTAAGAACTACACTTACTATCTAAGCAGAAATCATATATTTCAGACAATCATATACGATTGTAAAACAAAAATTTTAAGAATCAAAATATTTAGGTGTACAATTTTTTAATGTGGCATAATTTCTATCATAGATGTGCTTGGCAACTTATTGCCATGTCTCCAAGAGACGGCAATAAATTGTTATACGTGAAAGCTTGTGCATTACTTATGTCTACAATTTAAGTCTACAATTTAAGTAAGTATTTCTGTGCTCAGACACGTTTACGCGTGTTTCGCATGTTTTGTTTTTAATGTAGCCTTGATTATTCTACTTACCCTTATAGGATCAACTGACCCCAGTCTCCCCTATTACATACACATGAAAAAGTTCAATAAAATCAATATTTATATTTAACGATACAATTTTACATAAATAAAAATATTTTATATAAATAAAAATTTTCTTATTTTATATCTTAATTATTTTTTAAAACAACTACTTTTTATTAAAACAATTCAGATTTTAAATCGTTGCTAAACTCTTTGTATTATTTTCACCAATATACTATAGAAAAATCTGTAATTTTTTCATTTCGTTAAAAAATACATGTAATACGTTCTTAATAAAGAAATGTGTTGTAACAAATATATAAACTATTTCGTGTTTAAAAGATATTTTGGAACTGATAATCGGGATAATTTTTACATTCTTTTCAATTCTTCTACCAATCTGAATAACTCAAACGCACAATGCAATCAATCAATAATCATTATACCAAATTATAGTATTACTCAATAGCGATAGCATTCCAAAGTATTCCAGATCATATCATAAAATAATTTAATCCTTCTTGATTGGTTATCTTGATAAATCGAGCGGAAAGATCATATTTCCGCAATCGGCCATAGAGTTCCCTGTTTGTCATTTATTACGTTTCATTTCGACGAGTTTGTATAACGTATAGTCTACGATGGGCAGTAACAGTAATTGGTTAAAGAGTAGGCGTAGAAATCGGCCAATCATAGTTGATTATTTTTCTCACATTCAACTATGATTGGTCGATTTCTACGCCTACTTCTTAATCCACTATTGCTATTGCCCATTGTAGACCATGCATATGACTACGAGCGGTCGCAATTCCGCAGGTAAATTCAGCAGACGAGAGGCAGCGCGAGATGCCGAGGATGCGGGATGGTTTTCGAATCTCCGATCGACCATGATCGTTTGTTTCGAGGATCCTTTCGCCGGTTCGATGCAGCGGTGGCGGCGGCACCGCACCGGTGAATTTCTCCGACCCGCCGCGGCAGCAGCATTTCCTCCCACCCTGGGCAAGTGCATTCAACAGGTATCTACACAACCGATGAGTTTGTGCTATGCTGCCCTGTCTTCTCTCTCTCCCTCCTCCCCCTCCCTATCTCTCTCTCTCTCTTTCTCTTCTTGTTCCTCTTGTTCCTCGTCGGGGGTTCCATGCTATCTGGCGGACACACTGATCCGCACCCACCTGATCCCCCCAGCTCGTTGCATCAAGGACGCCTGCGTCGGTAACGTAGACGAGCTCCCGACCTAAAGCGGTTGGCTGCTTCTCGTCAGTACGCCGTCGACCGTCGAAGGTTGCTGGTCTCTGCTCCGGTGTTTCCGTTCGTTGGCTCCGTTCGCGGAAAGTCGTCGCTTAGACCGGTGTGACAGAGGAGTTTTTGTGTACGAAGTGATCGCGAGGATCGTTGGGTCGATCCTTGCTCCAGATCGGTGAGGTGTTCTATTCTGCAAGCGGAGGCTGCTTCTTCCTATCTAAGGACTGGTATCCGGATTTCGTTGCCGCGCCGCGCCGCGCTGGTAGGATCCTTTCCTGGGTGTTTCCTTCCTATTTTTACGACAGCGAGGAAATCTGTGTGTCGATCATCGAAAAACGATTGGCTGCCTTTTTTAACGGGGATCGACCATTAATCGATGATTCGCCCGTAGCCGGTTCTCGTTCTTCTACTCCGAGAAAGTTGTGACGAGAACAGACTGGGCGGGGAATCCCGGCATCAGGATCGAGGATTCTGTCCGAGCGTGTATTCAGATGTAGCTGAGAGGTCGGAGTGTTCCTCTCGACGTCTTAGAGATTGGATCAGTGCGTTTTTTGGAATTTGTGATCAGAATGAGCAAGGCGATTTTCAACGTGGCATCTGGCGACATTTCGGTAATGTTTTCTTGTTGAATATTCTAATGGAAAATGATAAATGTGACGGCCGGTTAATTTATTTGACAGAAACTTTACTACTTATTTTTGTATCATCTAATTAGTGTACCGTTTCATCTTTGTAATTTAGAAATGAAATACTTTTATACATATATTAATCGTACGTTGTGCTTTACGATACTAAAGTTAAATGATATTTCAAATATGAGTGAATTTTAAAATTTCATAAGGATTCCAATTATTTTCCATGATACGAATAAATAAGTAGTTCAATGTGATTGTAACAATTAATTATATTTCTCTTGCTACAAAATATTCCTGATTATTGACTGCTTCGACTAGTTTTGAATTCTATAAATTTAAATGGAAAAATAATTAAGTATTCGATAATTTAATTTTGATTTAGCTATATTTATCTTGTTAAAGCTCTGTTTGAAAAGTTCAATAAATTAAATATGGATCTCGAGCGTCGAATATTGATAGAATCTTGAAAGATCTGTGAAAAAGAGACATTATTGTTTTATTGTATCAAAATTTATGTCACGTTTAGCAAAATTTAATATGCTAATTACGTGACAAGAGTGAAAGATTACGTTACACGACATAACGTTCATCACTCAACGCAGTGGTTTTGATTTAAACGCAACCACCCCCATAATGTGATTACAAACTGTAATAATAACAGAAGAATTATCTTTGTACAAACATAAAATAGTACCTCTGTATAAAACATATATTGTTCCTGAAAAAAAGCTAGATAACGTTTTTAATTATTTTGAACTGTATTACTGTTTCTATTTGACAATGAGAAACTTAAGAGATATAAAACTCAACTGGAATTCCATTAAAGTGATTGTAACACACAGTTCCTCTTAACTCGTTTTTGGAGCAAATTTGCATCGTTTTTCAAACAAAAGTCGCACTTGTGACTCTTAAATAGAAATTTCCATCATGAAAACATGTTTCATTATCTCACGTTTCATTATCGAGTTATGTAACAAAAGGAATGTGTAGTTTTCGAATTAAATATTCGTTAGATAAAGCAATTTTCTCTGTCGACAATTTTTTCTAAAATATTTTTTAGAGCGTATTTCCTTCCTTATGAAGTTTGCACTTGTGTACTGAATAGAAATATCCTTTTATAGGAAACTTTTCACCATCTCAAATTACATTACCGAGTTGTTTAACAATAGAACTTTGAGTGCAGATGGGATCATTTTAGTTAAAGCGATTTACCTGAAATTGCACGCTAAAAACGGAGCACGTATGCGTTGTTTGTTATTATACAGAAATATACATTATTTGCTAGAGATTTGTTTTCTTTCGTACAAATATGTTTTATCATTTCGAGCTTTATTGCCGAGTTATTTAACAAGATGTAAATTTCAGAATAGAGATAAGGTGTTTGAATTAAAAGGTGTTTCTCGTTATAAAGCAACTCTCTTAAACAGAACGTCTCCGCTTCTATTTAAAAAATTTATGATGTGTGTCTCGGTGAGAGTGAGCGCGTTTGCGAGAGCATACGGAAGTGATGCGACACTACTGAATTCAGCGATATTAGCATAACCATTCTCCATCACATTTGCTATGAGTAAATTTAACTTCGTAACGGACGAGTTACGAGATACAGCGCGCGCTAGCCCGCCGATAAACGAGTTAAGCGAAGAGGAGCGGCAACAAAATTTTACACGAGATCACGTCTCGTGAAATGTTTGCACGAACTCATCACCGGGCATGTCGCGCGTTTGTAAAATTGTCGAGACATAAATAAATAAAGAGCTCTATCGCCAAACGTGGGGAAGCAAATCCGTGCCGGTAAATTCACTTTGATTCGCGTTCAAGCGCGCGGGGGATATGTTATTTCGATTGAAGTACGAAACACTATTGCTACTACAATCGCCATGGGAATCCTAGTGGACCGTACCAATTTACAAAATTTCGCCGAGCTTTGTCGAGTCAGTTTCAATCTATGTAGGTATCAAATTACGAGCGTAATAGAGCAACGGGAGACTGCAAAAGTACATTAAATATGCAAGCTGAATATCAGTTTAATGGTTTTCAGACTAGTATTGAGAAATAATCGCGAAATGAAGTTAAGCTAATTGAACCGACGTTAAATATTGAATTAAAGAAAGCGTTAACTCTTCGCCAGTTAGCGTTATAATTTGCGTCGTAATTCTTTTCAAGCTGATTAAAATTCTAGTTGTAAAATTCCATTAAGTCTTACGCAAGTAATAAAAATGCAAAATGTTGTAAATGATGATTAAAAATTTTCCTTTTCCCTCTTGACGTTGAGAAATTTATTTTTCTGCATTTATCTAAAAACGAAAATCGATAATGAACACTTTGTATGAGCATATAAAAATGTTCTTAAAAGGAGATTGCAAACATGGCAGCAATTTTTGCAGCAATCACGGTATATGAGAAGTTATAACAATGTAAAGTGTGGTTGAAAGTTGGTACACATGAAATTACAGTCTCATGTATTACAACAGCAGAGATTTCTTTTGTGACGTATACGAAGTATAAAATGTTTTCGTGGCAGTTATAACTTTATAACATAATAAATTAATGACGTAGCGACATTTTAGATAATCACAATAAATAATTATCGCGCGGTTATTATATATTCTCCCCGCCCCCCCCCCAATAATAATTTCTTTAAAAATTCTAAAACTTTTTATTATAGAATTATTTTGCATTTCATTTTTATCATATTAATAATAAATTTTTCTGACTTTAATGTAATTTGATTTAATTGCAAGCAAAGATAAATTCATAAACTGTGTATAAAAAATGTATATAGTATAAATGATATGCTATAAAAACAGAAATTTTAAAAACAGACAATTCTTTTAAATTTTGCTAAACATGTCATTTAGCATTATTAAGATCGTTTTAAGGTACGTAAAAGCCTCGAATTGTTAAATTACTAATCAATTTAATCCGTGATATTACTGCAGTAGTTTAGTAGGTTAGAGTTTGCGTTTCAAGACTGAAAAATTATTTCGGCGCGCAGTTTAAAGGACTACATATGTAGTATATAAATTCATACAAAATTATACAAGAACATTTAAGATCCAACTAGACCATAAGCATTCATTTTCTATTAGTTGTGTTCTTACATGTACGTGCTGTCCTATAGTTTAATATCTTTTAAAAATTGTTTAAAAGATATTAAATATAAATGATATTAAACAAAAATTAATTCAATTACTGCAATATATATACGTATATATAATATAAAAATATAGAGCTCAGATAGAACTTTCAAATTTTCCTTTTTTCCAATATATCTATATTATACATATATCCGTATTATTATAAAACATAATTACATTCGTGACATTAGTCCATATTTTTATACTACACTTTTATCGATAAATGTGCGCATTTAGCATATAGTTTACATTGCATATGCTGTAGAAATAAATGCGTGCATTTATCGATAAGATGTGAATATAAGATCCATTGTTTTTACTATGTATTTACGTTGTCATGTCCACAGGGAATATTTATAAGTTCATATTAAAATTTATTAAAAAGTCCATAATATGTAATTCGTATTTTGATTCTATCAAATTGTTACTTTTTTTTTTTAAATAAATTTAAATCTATAAACAAATCTATACGTGTATTTAGTGTGATACACTCGATGCATAATAATTCTTAGTGATACTGCGACGTCTGGAGATGTGAAAACGAATCACGTACGCGACTACACGTGGCTCCAAATAATTAGACGCAGTGAAATCGATTACGATTTCGATGTTATGCTTTCTCTTTTCAATGTGCTTCGAGCATCGCTTTATTTCGAATTAATTCATCACCCAGATTAGTCGCGGAAAAAGTATAGTACAATCAATCAAGTACATTACAATCGAGTCAGTAAATTAGATTTAGAACTAATGTACAAATTAATGTATTATACAAATTCTACAATATTGACATTCAGTGGAAAATAAAAGTTATCTAACTATAATACTTATAAGTAATACTTATAAATTTATTGCTATTTGACAATTTGACGCTTTTATTAAAGTATATCATGTTACACAAACCAAACACACACACACACACACATTAATCTATTCTATTATAATTTCATCTTAACTTTCATCTTAATAACAGAATATTTTACAAAATAATTATGTTTATGCTGATCGCGCATTTATTTTATAATACGTCTGAAGAAATAGTAATAATTTTCATGGCATTTTGAATTTGCTAATCTCATAATTAAAAAGGCTTAGATTTCAAATTCAGAAGATAATTAGAATTCTTATCAAAAGTTGGTGTAATATGAATTACACTATTATAGTTAACATAATCATTATTAGTATTGAAAGAAAAAGGAGAAATAAAATAAAAATTTCTATCAAAATTTTCTATTTTTAAAAAGCTACTTTCCTATTTTTTATTTCAATTTTATATTTATTTAATCCTCTGTTATTATATTCGTTCATATTCATTCATTTATATTTTGTCATGTAATAAACTGATTTCTGTTTACAAGAGAAAAGTCTTCCTTTGACACGACAAAATATTTTATTTTTAAACGTAATTTTACACACTGAAGGCCAACCGGTTCCGATTGTAGGATCGTCGTGAAGGGTTTTTTTTTTCAAATTGATATACGATAAAGTGAGCACAAAGGTGGGAATGCAATGCTTGAGAAAAGGTCAAACTTTCGATATACATACTGTATATCTTGTCTCCATATGTCTGACGCGGATAAATCGTTTCTCTTTTTCACGGCCAGTGCATTAATGCCACGGAATTATATGTTCTTGAAAATGTGGGACATACTAAGATAAGTCAAGGCAACGCCACGAAAACTGAATGCAATTGAAGAATTAGTAAACGGTTGGCCTTATTTTAATGGCGCGTATGCATTGACGTACATCCTGATTGCGAAAACACAATTGGAACTATGCCATGGATCTGAGATAAGAACAGAATTCTAAAATACTAGAAGAAATATCGCAACACTTACAGAT